GGGGGGCGGCCCCTTCTTCGGGACGCAGAAGCGATCTGGCGACAGGTAAGTCGCCAGGATCGCTTCTGTTGTAAAGCCGACAGTCGGCTCTACAAGTTTAAACAGAGTCCCGGCGGCAAAAGTCGCCGGGAGTCTGTTTAAACAGCCCCGATGCTGGCGACGTACACTGTACGTCGTCAGTCACGAAGGGGTTAAAATAGTACTAAGGACTAGGCGTTTTTTACCACAGTGCATACTCTGTGTTAAGTTAAAAAACACCTAGCACCTTCCCATGTCACCCTGTCCCCAAATACTTACATTTGGTTGCTTGTCACCTCCGCCGGGTCAGGGAAAATAAAGCTGTTCTCCAAACTTCCTGGTTGTGTGTATGGACTCGCACAGTCAGGCACGGACACAGTCCAGAAGCGCGCATGCACGGGTGTCTCCTCAGCACCTGGCTAACTAAAAGGAGACACCCGCAACAAGAGGGGGGAGAGGAGTGGTTTGGGGAACAACTGAAGGACCTTCAAGAAAAGCAACTTACAAGAAAACTATGGGGTAAGTGTTTTTCCCCATAGTTTTCTTAAGGGTCACGGGAGGGCATAAACTAGCGTCCTCCAGTGACACAAAGCTCAGTATATCGCAAGCTACAGGGCGCAGTATACTGAGACTGTCGCAGCCGGGACGGATCCCGACATTACTGTCGAGATCCACCCAGCTGCGTGAGTGACAGCTGACTCTGACTATCTAGGGGAAGCTGTACCCGCCCCCTCCCCGACCGTTCCTCCAGTCAGCGCTGGAGTATCAGAGCAGGGAGGGGGGGGGGGGGGGTCCCTGCAGAGAGCGGTGACTGACCGTCACCACCCTCTGCAGGGAGATGATCGAGAAGTGAGCGAGCAACGGTATGTGTTCGCTCACTTCCCAGGCTATTGAGCGCGATGTGTGACAGTTTCATTGTGACACGTCGGCTCGAACTTTGAGGTTGAGTGATTCTCACTCACCTCATAGTTCTCCTTTAAAGAAACAGAAAGAAAACAAAATCATGTAAGTGTGGGCTTTGTCTTAATAAAAATAAAAAAAACCCCAAAGGTTTAATATCACTTTAAAATTATTTTTTGTATCTTTGTATCTTTTTTTTCTCCGCTTGGTTTTGGCACCCAGTCGTCAAGTTCCCATTTTTATCTTTTATAAAGCAATTATAAAGATGTATTTTTATTCTCCCCAAATATATTTTATCAACCATATAAACAAAATTAAATATTCATGGCACATACACAACAAAAGCAAAAACACAGAATACTTTCATTAGGGAAAATTCATTTAATTACAATATTTTTATGTTTATGTTATTCTTATGGCACAAACCATAACCCATTACAGCAACATGAAGTGCGTTGTTGATGTTTTTTGATTGTTTCATGTCCAATTGTGTAAAAAAAAAAAAAAAAAAAAAAGTTTTTAAACATCTTTTTTCAAAATGGGGGCCTCTTCAG